CATAAATGAAAAAATGTTGTATGTACTGCATCTAGAAATTTATTCTGGTTTGTGGTGCAAGTTTATGAAACAATGTTGCATAAAGGAGATTTGGAATAATGACACTGTCTTCTCTATGAATATAGTCCCTGTTCTTTACAGTACACACATTCAAATACTGAAAACTTTTCATTATGTGACTTTATATCAACAGAGCACGTTAAAAAAACTATATGTGTGTGATCACATAGACTATTGTGAAAACTTGGTAATACCTGACATTCCAAATAGCAAAGGAGTAAAAACGTAAAAATCAAGCATTTTTGAAAAATTATTTCTTTCATTTGCAGTTGTTTATGGAATTCAATTTTTTAAAAATCTTTCCCTTCAAGACTACAGGAAAAGGCATTTCATTGAAAATTTTACTGTTTTGCAGGTGTGGTCTACCAGTAGAAAAATTAGTTTACAAAAAAACATGCAGAAAAAGGTTTTACTTGGTATCATTTTACAATAATTTTCAATCTTCATTTCCTTGTTGTGACAACATAACTTCCAGAAAAACATATAAATATTTATTTATTGAAAAGACATTATTAGCAGCAAAAATCCCAATGTTGTGCTAAACAATGCACATTTTTTGATCTCTCCTAGAATTAGTCTAGGGAAAGAACAAAAAGGCAATGAAATATTTTGTTCTATTTATTTTGAAATGGTTTAGATACAAAAAGCATTATGCTTAATGACTTTTGATATTGACTGTATTTTTTCTACTGTTTATTAATAATGCGCTCATAACTATCAAAACAAGAAAAGAGGCTCAATTTCTGCTGTCAAAGTCAATGATCAATCTCTTACAGTTCTAAACAAGTAACTAAACTTCCAGCCTGAAAATAAACAAAAATGTTCATGGGAAAAGGGAAAAAAAAAAACACCATCTTTTCAATATTTGGATATCTTTAAGCAGCAAACTCTAGAAACTTTCTTTCCTTAACTTACTGTATAAATTCACAGAACTCTCATATTTGATACTGTGAGGAACACTGATCACCCTTAATTCAGGACAGCATTTTTAAAAGGAGATAAGGCAACAAAAGAACAGAGTGCCTTTCACAGAAGCTGCCTCTGCAGCTTGAAGGAATAAATGTATGAAATATAATAGACTGCATGGAATGTAATAGAAATGTGTGAATGTTATACATAGTATAGACAAAGTATATAAGGAATCACATAATACAAGACTAGCACTTCCCAATGAAAATATCGCGGAGTAGGTTTAAAGCAAACAAAGAGTCACAACTCCTCGATAAAGTAGATAATTAAATTGTAGAACTTATTTTCACCAAGTTCTGAAGCCAAAAATACAAATAGGTTTAAAATGGGACTGCAGATAGTGATGGTAAATAGATTCCTAATGGTCATGAAATAAATGCAGCAACATGCACGCAGCCATTGCCCCAGGAAGCCACTAAAATACCTGTATCAGAATTAGTCTATGCATAACCCTCTCCTTATGTGTGTTCTCAGATATTCATTCCTGGGCACTGCCAATACACAATATTACACTAGTTGAATCTTTAGTGCCTCCTAGCATGGGAATCTCTTTATTTTGATTAGAGCCTAATAATATTACATAATGCTCTGAGATTCATGGAAAACAAAAATATAAACTCCAAGTCAAACCCTTAGGCACAGGACCACCAAATCCTAATGAAGAACAGTGAGATCCTTCCCTTTATTCAGCACTGATGAGGTCACACCTAGAATTCTGTATCCACTTCTGGGCTCCCCAGTTCAAGAGAGACATGGACATGTTGGAGACAGTCCACCAAAAGGCCGAAAAGATGGTTAAGAGACTGAAGCATCTCTCACATGAGGATAGACAGAGAGCTTGAACTGCTTAGCCTAGAGAAGAAAAAGTTCAGGGAGGGGATCCTATTAGTAAATCCTGACACCTGGAGGAAAGGTGCAAAGAGAATGGACCCAGGCTCTTTTCATCAGTGTCCAGTGACAGGATCAGAGAAATAGGCACACACTGAAGCACAACAGACTCCCTCTTATCAGAAGGAAATACTTTTCACTCTAGCACTAGCACTCTTGCCCACAGAGGTTCCAGAGTCCTCATCCCTGGAGATATTCAAAATCCATCTGGACATAGTTCTAAACAACTGGCCCTAGGTGATCCAGCCTGAGAAGGTGGGTTGGACAAGATGACCTCCAGAGGTCTTTTCCAACCTCAACCATTCTGTGATTTTGTGGTATAAAATTCACGTCCAAAAGTGTCAGACTAACCCTGCCTCTGCCTATAAGGATACTTGGGCAATGGTTTTTCAAAAATACTTTCTCCAGAGCAAAACTGAAATTTGTAACATGATACATTATGTTTTGAGACACTACTGATTCTTTTTCAGCCTCCTCCCACCACATTTTGTCCTCCCCAGATTCACTGTAGATCAGTATTTTCATCAGCAAAAGTGGACAGTCAGACATATTTTGAAATCCATTACAGACTCAGACACTGGCAGTGATTTCAAGTGGAAAATGCCTCGATATGTTTGGATAGTATAAGAATTTCTTCAGACATCTGTTCTCCCCAGTGTCCCACAATGTACCCAGGTAGAACAGTTCTCTGTAAGTCATTAAAGTAAGAAAAAGAAATAAAATTATAAAGTTACAGCAATACACAATATTTCTGTTCAATTTTCTCCCTGCAAGTTTAAAATAATCACAAAAATAAATCTTGATCATTAATAAATTAATGAAACTACCACAAATAAGCAGTGCTGGAAGATACTTTCAAAACTGTCTTTCAAAAGTGTCTTTCTAAGACACTTCCAAAAGTCACTTAGTCCATTCTCTTGTCCCAGCATGGGACCAGATATACTTTTGTCTCTTCTAGCAGATATTTGCCAACCTGCTCCTTAAGATTTTCACAGTTTCCACACAAGCCCTAGACAAACTGCAAGCATTTTAAGTTTTCTTTCCATGAAAGGTTTTCCCTATCCAGCTGAATTCTCCCTAATACAACTTCTGTCTACTCCTTTCTCCTGCACAACCAGAGGCATGGAGAAGAGATTATTTCCTTTCATGTTTCAGCAGCATTCTGCATAATTAAAGATTTGTCCCTCTCCTTCATCCCCTGGGATTTTCTCTTCAGGAGGCTAAATCACCTCATGTGTTTGATTCTTTCTTAATACATATGTTTCTTAGACATTTAATTATTCCTTCTTATTACTCTCCACTGAATTTCATCTGCTCCTCATAACTTTTGAAGAATGTTGTCCAAAGAAGGCTTTGCCATGCCAGGTGAGATCTTAGCAAAGCTTGGCAGTGTGGAAACTTCCTCATGGTGCTTCCTGGCTACTGTCTGCACATTCCTGTATGACATTAATCTCTTTAACAATGCTGGCTACAGCTCAACTCACATATTATGGCTCCCTGATTCTCTGCTAAGGAACATCTCCCTACACCATTTTCCTTTATACTGTGCCAACCACATAAACCACCCCTACATAGCTACACCACTTTGCATTTATCCTTTTGAATGGCATCATCACATCACAACCATAGCTTGGGTTTTCAGGGATAATTTTTGAATATAGTCGTGCCATTAGATGTTACACTTCTCCCAGTCTTATGCTATCTGCAAGTCAATTGAGTATACAGATCACTGTTCAAAAAAATCCTTTCATAATAACAGTAACTATTTAAAAATAGTTTTTGTCATCTGTAACTCAACTATTTACATTGTCCATACAGTATTTTTGGTTTCTTGAAAGCCATATGCTTCATACATACAAGCAGAACAAACTTTGCTGAGTTAAGGAAACTGGGTATACAAAGGAGGTACTGAGGTGTTTTTAAAAAATTGTAATATTGCCAGTATCCAACAATAATCAATAAAGAAAATATTCACTGTCCATATTATATAAAATTTTATAAGAACTTACATAAGAATGTCAGAAAGAGAGCTCAGAATAATACACTGCTTTACAGAATAGCAATTTTGAGTCCTATTTTTCAGTTTTAATTTTTGACAATTTCTTTCCATAGATTCAAAAAACATATCACAGCTTTGATGACCCACAAGTGTGAAGGTCCACTTAAATATACATATTTTCTGCTTGGAAAATAATTAACAAGTTACATGCAAGCTTTAAACCAGTTGTGCATGAGTTCAAAAGCAAACATTTCTTCTATCATGTGAACTTACAAGGCATTCACTTCTAGAAGAAAGGAAAAACATCAACTTAACTGTTTAAAGATTAAATAATATCAGAAGTAACATTTTAAGAATTTGAAAATTTGGATTAATAAATATTTTTTAGTTTGTCTTTATGAAAGAAATATCTTCAGCTCTGTGCTTTAAGTTCTACTCTAAGACTGAGTGTCCTAGCTTTGCCAGTTTCTGTTAAATCTTAAAATTCTCAAATAGCAAAGAAAATTTAATGACTTAACAGTATAAAAGGTCTGTTGATGAAATACCGGCCTCTTGACTGACCCAAGATTTCACCTTATATCTGCTAAAGTTTTGAAACTTTACAGATATTTTAAAAGCATGAAAAAAATGAAATGACATTTTCTTGTTCCTTAGAAACTTCTTCATACATATTATGTATATTCATATAGCATTCTATGCATAAACAATATCACAAATACCATGCATCTGCATAGACACGCTATACATAGTACTACATGTCTTATCATTCCAGCTCCTCATGCACAGTAAACACATCACTTCACTGGGAGTTTCACATATGGAACATTTGCAGAAAAGAAAAGACAAATGAAGCAGCAGGAACTCCTTAAGTTGTACTCTAATGTAATCGCTTATGTTACTGATAAGGAGAGTAAAATCTGTTTTTGGTTTTCCCTTTGCAAATGAGGGTTGGAAAGCAAATGGTATTCACCTTGTAAAATGCCCTCAGCTGAGTGTTCTAAATGGCAATTACTTCAAACATACTCTCCAGTATGTTCTGATGCTATACAGACATTACTTAGTCTACAGAGAGCAGCTTACTTACGTCTGGGGCTCCTTTTCATTTTGCTGTTTTTGCTGTGGTTGAAGAACGTTATTTACCAGCTCAGTGATCCCACTAAAGGGAAACCACCTGTTTAAACAAGCAAATAATGTGACTGAATAACCAATAAAACCACACTAGTTTAAATGTTTTCTTATCCAACATTATTAGAAATACACAGGCGGAAAAGCTAGAGCCAATGGGAATGTTAGCTGCAGAACTAAGTCAGCCACTAAGGATGTAAGGGAAGTAAAGTTTTACAATTCACCAGTTCACAAGCAGGCAGCAAGAACCTACATCCAGCTAACATGTGGATGGAGTAAGAAGCTGCAGGCAGCTCTCTTACAAGCCAGTCAGGAAGCAGATGACAAACTACCTGCAGCCTATCAGGTATCAGTGAAAGCTAATACCATCAAAGGTGCAGAGAGCAGAACATGGCAAAGGTAGAAAAGTCAAGCCTATTGCATCTTTAAGATATTTTACTTACTGTGTCGACTGTGGGTTTTGCTCTTCTTTGACCCTAAAAAGATAAGTTTGCACAACTGAGTGCAACATGTTGTAAAACAACGACCCTAAAGTTCTAAAATCTGTATCAAATGGGCAGGAGAAAGTTCCTACTTTGAGTTAAAAGTGTTTCCTTTACTATTTGTTGTATGTTTACATTCAAGTGTACTCTGGACTTATTTCCATTTAGGATTAAAAATGGGGAATGACAAGTATAGGAAACTTTTAGTTGCAAAATTAAATTGGTAATGTTTTATAACTCACTTTCAGTTCTTTGCTCATAATATCATGTCAAAACATTTCCAGGAATACATTCAGCTATAAATGCAAAGGAAGGGTCTTTGATTATCTAAACTATAATCTATTTTTTTATTTTTATTTACAACTGAACTGCCTATAGTTCAAGGTGATTTTGTAACATGTAACATGACATTTAAAACACAATATCCTAAACTAATAGATTAAAGGAAAATCTGCACTACATTTATTAAACCACAGTGATATCAGGACCTGCAGACAATGTAACTCTTAAAACTAAGGAAGGAAAGCTAGGGAATTTTACTCTTGAATGAACTTTTCTAGGACTTGCTTAAATAACTAGATAATACATACAGTAGGTCTGTTTAGTATTGATTAATATTTGTTCATTGCATTTAGGAAAACATTTCATCTGAAACACATGCTTTAACTTCAGTGAACAAGTTGATGTTCTAGACCAAACCCAAGAATATAGACATATACTCACAGGAATATTTATATCCTCTAATTGCAGGTATTGATCTTACATACTAAGTTAGGATCTACCTTCCATGTATGTTCAAAAAAAAAAACCAAAATGTTCCTAAATAGATATTCTGAATGTCTGTATAGAGAATACTCTCACTTAACTAAACAGGAATTGCAGGCTTGTAACTTAAGTGGATGCTTTGGGTTGAACAGAAAATTAAAGCTCATCGAAATAGCTCCACATCTCCTTCACTATATGATATCACAGGGAAATAAGTGGATGATAAGAAACACTAAAATCTTTCCAAAACTTTTTCTATACAAAAGGAAAAGTGAACATGCAGCACACAATAAAATGTCTCCAAGCATGGACTTGCCTCTTCAGCATGTTAGGAATTTTTATATAAAGAAATGTTCCAGTACCAAAACAAAGCAAACGAACAAATCCAGTAAACAAACAATCCCACAAAAACGAGCAGGTATATTCCAAAGAAATAAAAAATTGTGAAAATTAAAATTTCTCATGCAGTCGCAATTCCACTCCACCATGCATCTTAATCATAAATACTATCTTTAACCACGAGAATCCACACTAGTTTTTCAAAGTAGGAATTCAAAGTCAAAGGGGTGGCAAGGGCAGGGAATCAAAGTATTTTCATACTTTTTGCACTAGGTAGCTCAGGACTTTTAATTTAGATCACCCAAAATTATAAGCCTTAAAGCTCTATATGGTCAACTGTGAGAAGGAAACACTCCCAGACAATAATTCAGAGCTCCTAAGTAGCATACATAGAACTAGATGGTGTAAATGTGATCTCCCTGACAACTGGACAGAGAAGACTGAATATACCACTAATCCTTTTAGTCCTCTCGACTCATGACTTCCAAACAAACTAAGTGCACACTTTTAAGTTCATTGTGAATTTTTCTGTTGAATTAAACAAAGGAAATCTTAGCCATTCATATGATCAGATTACAACCAACATCTTTCCTTCGGATACTGATCGTGGTTAATATTTTTTCACATGTAGAACTGAGATCAGAATAGCGTAAAATCAAAATTGTAATACTGCACATTAATTCTAAGTGTGCAGTTTGAAATTTTGGTATGATTTTTTTCAGCAGGATCTAGAATCTTTACATAATAGTATATATCTGGTAACTTCAAATGCAGCTGCAAACCCTTGGTATTTTTGAAAATCTTACAATCAGTTTTTAGTTTTGCACCATTAAATAAAACACATTGTCCATAAGCAGACACTTCGAAAACCTGCATTTAAAATTATTTTCTCCGCATTTTATAGGAACACGCTGTTCTAAGCCAGGATATAATTTGACCCTACAATTCAAAATATCTCTCTTATAAATTAATCTTTTCTCCTCCCACAATTCTGTGTCTCATTCACTATACACTTTCCAACACTGCAGTTATGTGAGGACAAGAGCTTCCATTATTATATAACAGTGACGCATTCCTTGAGCACTCTCCATACATCCTTCAGTCCTTGGATTAGGCAATGATCTTCCTTGACTTTATAACAAGCATGGAAGGCAAACTACTTCTTTGAAAAGAAATCACGAAGAAATCTATTCAATAGATTCTACCATATGAAGTTAAACAAATACTGACCTTGTGGATCAACAAGCCTGAACCCTTCAGGTGTAAAGCTCAGGTATTTATCTTTCAAGGTCAGAGAATGGAGAGAGATTCTGAATCTAAATCAGAAAACCACAGACTAATTTCTTCTGCTTTCTTCCCAAAAGACTCTTCATTCAGATGAAATTAGAAGTTGTAGTAACTGATAGAAACAATGATTTATTAGATAAAATACAAAGAATTTATTTTTAACACTACTGTAGTTTAAATGTTTTTTCCAGACAGAAGAGGACTGAAGAGACTCCAAATACTTGAACCCTGTCTACATACACACATACAGCTTATTTCCTTTGGTAACAAGAACTGTTTTGTGTTTCACTGGATTGTGTAGTCCTATATTTATGCAATGCTTTCTCTCCTCCTTTCAAAGATCAGAAACTAACAATTGCTTAAAAGAAGTGTATTGCCAGGTCGGAAAAATTCCAAACCTCCATTTTCTCAACAGACCAACTGAAACACACCACATAGTATGACCACAGTCCGCTTCTTCCAAACTACCTGTCTTCATTTTACCTTCCTATGTCTTTTCAATTCTATTCACTCAAAACTCTGCCAAGAACAATGCCACTTCTCATCATTCACTAAAAACAAACTCTGATCGATATCTGTTTGCTAAAACCAACAGCAGGCTGCAGATAATGTGTTGGATCAACAGTGACAGGCAATGCATTCTAACAGTGCGGAATATTAAATATTTTACCACTTAGTCTAAAATGTTAGAGGAGTCTGAAGCTCTTGTCACAGTTTTTTTTTGCTTGCACAGATCATAACTGCAGGCATTGTGTCACTTGAAAACAAGCCAGGATTTTCCTACTTGCCAACAGGAATTGTTACACCTTGCCCTTTGTTATCAGGAACCTCTGCCCTCGAAACATACGCAGCACCATTACTGCTGTGTTCTTCTGCAAGCCTACACAGTGCCACTGCCAGATCCCTTTGATCTTTCCCAGTAGCTTGAATCACTAAGTCAGATCTCAAGTCTCATGAACACTTTTTGATGTTAGATCTTCTTCACATACTAAAAATTTCCTCAAAGATTAAGGCAATTCCCACTGGCACAGAGAATGAGTAGAAGAAGAGAACAGAAAGAAGAGGGAAGTGAAGAAGAAAAATGGAAGCAGGAGACAAAGTAATGAAAACATCAACATAAAAATTATTCTTATTCCTTTAAACTCCCAATACCTTTCTATTTTTCAATCTACTGTCACCAATAAAAGCTTCTCTCTAAAATCTACCATGTCAAAATCACAAAACTTTCTTTCCAAAGAAGGTGCTGGACACAGGTAAACTAACAAGCACTCTGTTATCAGAGCTCATCTCTACTTTTACATACTTGGATGCACAGCCACAAAAACATGTGGGCAGAATTCAGGTGCCTCAATCCATGATAATGAGCCTTAAAACACACTCTACACCTCCTAGATATCTGGAATGAAACAGGTATCTCTTTTCAAATGAAGTTTGGGGAAATCCAAATTTCAGAATCAGCCATCCTTAGCAAGGATAAAGGTCTTAATATCTATATCTAATGCAACAATACTCTCAAGATTCACAACTTTCCCATCCATGGACCTACAAGCACAAGGAGATCTGATCTGCAGGAATTAAAAGTTATACGTAGGTTTGAACTATCCCAAAATCATTTGATAATTCACAACTGTCTTCTTAATGCAAAACTAGAGAAAAGATTTTAATGAAGGTATGTAACTGGCTTTCTCTGCAATTGATATATTCTCATTCTCAAAGTATAGAAACATCATAATCTCTAAAAGTATTTCGCATGACCAATATTTCTTAATATAGCACAACTTCCTCCCCTTGAATTTACACCCTGGAAAATGGTACTGAAAATAAAATAGGACTTAAAGAAACAATATTCAAACCCTTGCGGGGTTGGCCATTTCCTTTGTCGAACTAGGGACTGAACTGATAAAGGGGGAAGATCATCAGCTCCAGACACATTCTAAGGTTTCCACCACCCTGTCTTAGAGTTAAAGGTCCACTGATCCATTTTCCTGGATTGCTTACTTTTCTTTTCCCAAATCTTTGTAACAGTATTTCAATCATACGCCCTGCACCAAATGCAAAAAAAAAAAAAAAGGATTAGTTGCAGAGACTGCAGTGACTACAGTCCCACGTTGGAAGTCAAGGCATGTGACACATGCACAATGTATAACTTTGCCTGCACCCACTCCTGACAAAGCAGTCAAGTTAACAGATATAGTCAAATACAGGTACAATCAACTATTTTCTTGAAAGAGTGCAACTCTGTAAGATTAACTAAGTTAAATTACGTATGTTTGACTCCAAGAAAAGAGAGATAAGGAGGTCAAACATAAATCCTTGCTAATTGCATAACTGTAAAATATTTACATATTAACTGACTTGATTCTCTGCATTGATTACCCTATCAAGGCCATAAATACATGTACCTTAGAATATGTAACTTATCTATTTTTGATCCAAATTAAAGTCTTCATTTTATATGACTGCTCCAAATTTTGTATTAATATACATATAGGCATTTGAATTGAGAATGATCATATTTTGGACAATAAAGTAATGTCTTTCCAAAGGAATATTTTCCTCAAGATGTATGCAAGTGGTTTTCCTGACTAAATTTGCTCTGTTTG